AGAGCTAAGATCCTGAGTTCAGTCTCTGGTAGTCTGGGTAGGGGTGAGGTGGGGTTAGGGGAATGAGGAAAGCTACCTGAAAGGCTGGATGTTGTGTGAATTGGTAGACCTCATTTTGATGTGACTTAGCAGGGCATCTGGCTGTTTTGGAAGATCCTCATAGTAGCCATAAAAATATTTTTCCTTGGACAAGTCAATTTCCCTAGAAAGAAATCCTCTCATATTCTCTTTAAGGGATATAAACGTGGAAGACCCATTTACAGGAGCGGAGAAGGAAAAATCTCATAGTTCAGTATGTAGAATTTCACTTATTCCATTTATCTCATGTGTAGGAAGGCACCTCACTCAATATTTACTTATCCTTTTGCCAGGTAGAACAGAAGTTCTCTAGTTCAGTCTTACCAGGGAGTAAATCTTACTGTCTCTGGGGTGAATTTACCCAGCAACTTGGTGGAAGAAGTAATCTGGGAATCTGGTCTACCTACTCCTACATGTATGTAGACTTTGAAGTAATTACAGTATGTTGTTTTCAGCCTTTCTTCTCTCATGACCTCAGGGATCCTTGGGCTTTAGATTTCTGGTACATTTGAATTTTATCTAGGTTGTCCCATTGGAAGAGAGCAGAGATGAGTGTCTCAGTTCAATATTATATACGATGTTGACCAAATTCACTGGTCTTATTCCAAACACACAGATTGTCTACATTCTACACAGACCTTGTAAGTCAGAATCTTTAAGGGGGAATATATAAGTCTGAATTTTTGAAAAGATCTTCATCTGACTCTGAGGACACCACCTACAGAAATTTTTATTCCGATATTCTCAGGCCCACATTTGACCACTGTCTTTGAAAGCACAGTGAACCAAGAAAAAGAGAAGGAAGAAAATAACAGATGAATTCTGAGAAAAAGATAGCTTAGAAAGAGCTAGGTCTTGTGGAATTCAGAAACATTTTGAGAGGACATAACCTGATGAAAAATGCTGGTAGAAATATGTGTCAGTGAAGACCAGGAAAGTAAGGGAGGAATGGCTGTGAGATGGATCCAATACTTGGTTGGTAGGCAAATAGTTTTCTTCTTCCAGCTCTACTTCACCTTTCTTCCTTCCTCTCTCCTTATTTTCCTTACAGTCTTGTTAAGAGAAGCCATATAGTCATTTTAAAAATTGGAAAGAAAAAAGTCATAAAGAAAACTTCACACAAATATGACCTCTAGTAATAACATTTATTCAAGAGAACAGTTTTCAAAATGAAATGAATTTAGATCTGCTGAAAAAAGATACTACAGCATGTACAGAATAAAGACATATGCTTTCAGTACTGCACACCACATTGCTGGACTTTAGGAGTGGAATGTACAAGTGGTTAGGTATGACTTGTGGATTAGACAGCAGAGAGTTACAAATCAAAGAAGTTGGCAGAACGGAGGAAAAGAGAATAGGCACACATCAAGGAAGAGGAAGTCATAAATACTAAAGTCAAATGGCATACATCCAAGATTCCTCTGGAAGGTCCTAAAAGATCTTAAAGGGGAAGATAAAGGAGGGTGAGAGATGGGAGGAGGGATAGGTAGCACCAATAAAAAAAATTAAGAACTTTAAAAATATTTCTTTTCTAATCACTTAGGTTTTATATCCACATTATTGTATTTATTTGTCCAGATAAGTAATGTTACTAAAACAGACAGATATTAACATATGGGCAAATGGAATATAGACTAAGAACTTATTTGCATATAGGCAAGATAGCACTGTAGCATTTCAAAAGTCATGGTAGTACTTGGTATAGTTCTAAATATGAATGAAAGAAGATATTAAATTGCAAGTTAACAGCTTCAGTTGAAATACATATTCCTCTGGGTTTTGTGGGAATGGTCAGTATTTAATGAAGTCCACAGATCATTTCAGCAGGAAACTATTTTCCTTACTTCTTCCATATTTTCCCTACATTTTTAAGACATAAGGCAAGTTGTACAGTATTTTTAGAAATAGCTGAAAAAAGTATTTGTTAAATGTGTTGCAGTGCAAAGTGATAATAACGGGAAAATAACAGTGAATATAACAGGAAGAAAATTTAAAACTAGATGTGCTATAATTTTTATCCAGTTTCAAAAGTGGAGCTTAGAGCTGGGTGTGGTGCCACATGCTTGTAATCCCAGCACTTAGAAGCCTGGGGCAGGAAAGGCAGGAAAGGCCAGCATGAACTACATAGTGAGACTTTGTCTAAAAAAAAGAAAAAAAAAATCAAAATAGTGCATATTTTTTGCCACATTCATTTACTTCAAGTATCTGCATTCAAAGTTGGATTTTCCAATTTAAGTATCCTGAGGTAAGAACTGAATTAATAACTATTGATAAAATATGAAGATTCTATTTTCAGCTAATGGTTCCTTATCCATGAGTATGTGCATGCACACACAGAGTAGTACACCAAACACTTCTATTTTCTTTTTTTTTTTTTTTTTTTTTTTTTTTTTTTGAGACAGAGTCTTGCTATGTCGTTCCGGCTGGCCTTGAGCTCACTATATATCCCAGGCTAGCCTCAAATTCATAGTGATTCTCCTGCCTCAGTCTCCTGAGTGCTGGGATCACAGGTATGTGCCACTGCATCCAGCTAAAGCACTTTTATTTTCACTATATCTTTACTTAAAGCTATTTTCTGCGAATATGTAACAACTAATTTACCAACCAGAGATTTAGATCCACTTTTTATAAAGGTCAGGAAACCATAAGGTTCTTGGGATGGTTATGCCTTGGCGAAGCAATGTCCAAAGCTGCATTCGGCTTTCCCAAAGTGTTAAATGCACAAACTTTCTCTGATATCCTTCATATTGATGTGACATGTCCACGATATTTAATGCCCACAGAAAATTAAAATATTTTGAGGCATATTCTCACAGAGGCTGTTTGTACATAAAAAAATACATATTTAACTTTATCATTTCTTTCTTTTTTGGTGTGGGGGATCTAACTCAGCATCTTGTGCTTGTGAGGTAGGCATAGGCACCCCTAAGCTAAATCTCAGGCCCTTTATCATTTTTGATTCTATTAATATTTATTTGTTGTTCAGTGATAAGAGATCAGCTAATGTGAGATCATTTTACAGAACAAATTAAAACCTAAAAAAGAAATTATCTTCCTTAACTTCATTGACTCACTATTGTGGGCCATAAGCATCGTTGGGTAACATAATTAATAAATGTATAACATAATCTTCCAACCAAGAAATCTCCACAAAGGTAGTAGAGAGAGGAAAACACTTTTACCATTTAATAAGCATTAAACCAGAATGGTGCATATCATAGGCAATTTGCTATGAGATTGCAAAGGCAGAAAGAAAACTCATCATTTGATGTAGCAGCGAAGAAACAGCTCATTACATACGTATTTTCAAGATAAATAGTCCTCAAGAGAATGTGACACAGAGGAGCTGGGGACACTGACCCTCTGAGTTGGCCGATTAGCTTTATCCAGAGGAGAAACAAACTTCTTTTGTCTGGATAACTGTAGGTAGTTTTGCTACTTGGGGCGATGCACACTCTAGAGCTGCACTCCTACTCTATAACAGAACCGGGGGAGACAGATGCTATTAAGAAAAAAACGGTTCTGCAGGTTTTGACGAAGACATTCCTGGATCATAAATCTTGACAAAAAGATCTAGCTAGTCTTCTAAGGGTTTATATACATTTTAAAGAGATGGAAAGCATTTAATAATTACGTGTTAGAGACACATGTTCTGAGAAAAAGGAAGGATAGGTCTTTACTCATTTTCAAAAGGGAGAATTAAGTCTCATTTTTGTAACACTTTTGTCCTGTACGGCACATTTAGGTTTCTTGGGCTTTCCAAATACAACAAAAAAGTCCAATTTAAAATTTATGTTTTTCTATGGGTAGGACTGTCTACTACGGTCAAATAAATAAACCTGTTTTTGTTGTTGTTGTTATTTTTTAAAATCACTGTTTTGGCTCCCACATAACTCAAACAAACGTTTCCGAGGGGGAGTGTGGACACGGAGTTGACATTTAGATTTGCTCCAGGCAAATAATCGAGTTCAACCCACATGTAAGATATGATGCCTTAAAAACCCTGCTACTAGATCACCTAGTAACTTTAGTGCATATTACTCATTTCCCACCACATTCTTTTGGTGAAAGACGCTTCAGCCTTCAGTGCAAATCACTTTGGGTTCTTTACACATTCTAGACTCTAGAAGAGGTAAGGGCTTTTTTTTTTTTTTTTTTTTTTTTTTTGGTCTATTGGTACTGGAATTGAACCCAGGGAGTACTGAGCTACGTCGCCAGCACCCTTGCCCCCTCCCTGGTTCTCATGTTGAGACAGGGTCTCCCTAAATTGCTCAGGCTGGGATCGAATTTGCAATCCTCCTGCCTCTGCTTCGCAGAATTCAGGGATTGCAGGGGCGAACCACCCTACTGCGTAAGTAAGGAGTTCCTATAGGGACCCTACGACCTAAAGTACATCTTACTACAACATCCACTACAATCGCAGTACCGCGTTTAGAGTACTGAGACTTACTTTCTTAGTCTCAGGCACCGGGGTCACAGGAATGATTGAGAATTCATTAGAGAAGCTAAAAATCATTTTACAGGAATCAATGTCACAACGGGCAAAGTAAAACGAGGTAACCCTTCGAGCAGAAAGGCCTGAGGGCGTCCAGCGCCTGCAACGGGAAGGGGCTCGGGGCCGGGACAGCCCGCGTCCGGAGCTACGGGGCGCGCTTAGCCTTTCCCTCTCGCCTCCGCCCCGCCCTCCGAATTCCTCTCCCGGCGGCCCCCGCTTATCATCCCCGCCCCGGGGA